ACAAATTAGGAACATGAAGGACATTATGTAAAGTTAAGGAGGAGGACAAAGGGATGGATCCTATGCTAGTAATTGCAGAAAAAGAACCATCTACAACCTTAATTTTCTTGTTACATGCTAAGGACTACAGGAAGAAAAGAGTTTCCAACAGCCGATCATATGGTTAGTAGCCCCAGAATCTACGATCCAAAGGGTTTTAAGGTATTGTCACTATGATAGAGGGAAGCAATAATGTGAGTACTTTTTTGGGCCAAAGAGCAATACAGGTTAGTTGTCAATATGGGAGAGAGAAGCTTGTGTAGGTGTTCCAATTGTTCCTTAGTGAAAGGAGTTATTGCAGACACAGACAAAGGCCCCTTAACCTCCTCAGTGGCTGTCTGAAAAGCGTTGCTCTCTCTGTTGGATTTCTTCTTGAAGTTTTCTGGTTTTCCATGAAGTTTCCAACAAGTTTCTTTTGTATGCCATGGTTTTTTTACAATGTTCACACCTTGGTTTTTTTCTTCTATCTCCATCAGCATCAAACCCTTTGGTAGCAAGGGTTGATCCTTCCACTGGTGGTTTAAAGGATGATTCCGGAGCATGTAGCATCATCATTCATTTGGCCTTTTCAATCTAATACACTCGATCATTCTCCTCCCTTTTTTTGAACCGTTCAGCATCTTTGGGGTTCTCCCAATCTTCTTCATAACATTGATCTAACTCTTGCCATAAGGTTAGGAACAGATGGTAGTAGGTAGTGACATCCTGACCTCCTTGCTTGGACTGCCACAACTTAGTTTTTAAGGTCATATATCCGAGAAGAATTTTCAAAATCTGAGTAGCAATCTTTCGCAGCTTCCCAAACTTCTTGTGCAGTTGATAAGAAAAGGTAAGGTTTTCCAATAGAACATTCCATGGAGTTAATCATCCATGACATGATGAGGGAGTTCTCAGCCTTCCACTTTCTTCCATGTAGGGTCATCTTTTTCTAGTTGCTTAATTTCTCTAGTTAAATAGCCCAACCTTCATCTCCTTCCATTGTTAGCTTCACAAACTGTGCCTACTCAAGGTAACTTTTTACCATTCAGTTGGTGCACCGTGAGTTAGAGGCTCAAAGCTTGGGATAGGTTATCAATCGCACCAGGTTGGGAATCCGCCTTGTCATTCTTTGGTGGGATAGTCTCCATGTGTTCTTCCTCGCAGAGAGGACAAGGTTTAGAGCCCAAAGCTCTAATACCATACAAGAACAAAGAAAGGAATTATTTTATTTTCTCTTAGAGAGTGAGTGGGTGTGTCTTACTTGTTTTCTAAGCACATCATTGCTGGAAGTGTCCCAATCCCCACAAGCCCCAGGTTTGGAATTTGGGAGAAAACATTGATCAGTGCTATTCGGCTCCTGTGAATCATTTTTCGTTCTTGATTGGATGACCATCGGTTGCGTTTCAGCAACAAACGATGCAAATATGTGTATGGCTGTTTTCTCCAAAGGCGACTCAGCTTCTGGGTCTTCAAGCTCTGACTCTTGAGAGTTTGAAGAGGTTTTTGTTTCCAACTATGTACACAATCGTTGTATACCTTGTTCTCTGCCTTGATTATGAGATTCTTCTCCTTTTCCAATTTGGTCACCGGTCATGTGTGAACGGGGTGCTAAGTCCAATACACACCTTTTTTATATACACCTCTTTTTTTTTTTTTTTTTTAAGTACGCCCTCTTTTTTAAAAAAATAATTAAATTTTTAAAATATCTTTAATTTTTATTATTTTTTAATTTTGTATTCCTAATATTTAATTTAATATTTTTTTTACATACTTTTTTCTCTTATTTTTACATGTACTTCTTTAATTTTTTTCACTCCAACTTATTTTAGTAGGTAATTTTAATTCTTTTAGTTTTATATTATTCTTTTTTCCTTCTTCTTTTAGTTTTCTTACACTCATTTTACTATCTGCATAATACTCTAAAATAGTAAAAATATTTTTTTCATGACACTAAACTTAATGTTAAGGTTTTTGGAGGAGTGAAAGGAAAGGAAGTATTAGAAGAAAAAATACGTGTCTAGTTTGATAGAAACTGTCGATGAAGTTACATGTACCTACAATATTATCGCCTACTAGTTCTATGATTTGGGTACATATGAAAAAGTGAAATAAGTGAAAAAATAAGAAAGTAATATAAAAATCAAGAGAACTAAAATTATCCACTAAAATAAGTGATGAATTAGAAGAAAACAAGATAGTACGTGTGAAAACTAAAAAAGAGAAGGCAGGAAGTGTGTAAAAAGAAAAAATAGTAAATTAAAAGTTAGAGATGTAAAATTAAAAATTAAAAAAATTATAAATATTTTAGAATTTTTTAAAAAAAATAAAAGAAGTGTACTTATAAAAAGAAGGAAGTGTATATCTCATTAGCCTTTTGACATTGGTCTTTGTTGGGCCCAATTAGCCCATTCTTAGAATTATCAATCCCACGTAAGCCTTTAGGAGATTTCTCTCTGTTGTTGGAAGTGTAACTAGTCCCGTTACGCCGACGTTGATGTCTTTAAGCATGGCACATGTTGATCCTCCTGCTCTTGCTTGTCATTTCTTTTTACCAAATCCTCCCCTTTATATGTTTTGACAAACAAATCATACTCATTTGTTGTATGGGGTTCCCTCTATACCTTCCTTTTGTTCACCATGACTGTTTCTTCTTCTTCTTCTCCTATGTCATCTGCTGAACATACTTAAGAAGAGAAGAGATAGTTGAAAACCAAGTCACTATCCTTAGAGGATAATGGCATTGAACTTTTACTCCATCCAACATTTACAGTGATTCATAGGCACTACCACTTCCACATAGATTCTAATTTGTGTGATCACGCCATTGATTTTAGCTTTGTAATGGGTGTTTATAAGGTGTAGAGAAGAGGTTTTAATCAGCAGCCTCGCGAAGTCCAATCTACTGAGTGTGGTTGTGTCATTATCTATGAAGACTAGTGTGCCCAACGTACCGACAATTTTAGAGAAGCACTCTTGCCCCAATGTTTGAATTGGGATCTCACTGCACCTAACCCATGTTAATCTATTTCCTGGAATGAGATGAGGTTCCTACTTCTGAATAGAATGGAAAAAGGACCAAACACCCGTGGATTGTGCCTCCCACTCTGAGATTATTTTCTTCCACACCTGAGATGAGCACCATGTCGTCTCCCATATATCTTACCTTTGCATCTAGCATTTCGTTTAGAATTCTTGCTTCTTGCAGCTTGTTAAACATTGTTAGATCTTTGAGTTTTCCATTCCAGCTTTTACTTATCCACTAAGTGTTTTCTTCCTTAACCAATAAGGTTAAACCATTCCAAGATTCATTTTCCTTTCGTTGTTCGGGGACTTGTTTAGCCTTCCAAATTTGTAACGTTCCCGGTTTACCTTGTTGGACTGCTTCAGCATATGACTTAGATTTGTTTGTTATTTCCTTTGTCCAACCCGCACTGTTTGTTGTTGATCATGCCTTCAGCAACTTGTCTCCTTCTGTATTGATTCTGCCAATCTCCTCTGCGGTATTTGGGAATATTTGCATGCATTTTGATATCTCCAAAATAAATTTTATCCAGTTGTTCTTCAAGATGTTTGTCACTTTGCATATTAAGGAACCTCAAATCCATAACATTGTCCCCACTTGTTTCTTCTTCTTGCTGTGAAAACTTCCCATACTCTCTCCCATCTTTGAAAGACCTTCCATAAATCAGATTCACCATACACCTCTGGAAAATTTTTGAAGAAGAAGGTTGATACTCTTCCTGCTGCAGTGCTCTCACCGTGCCTTACCATGCTTTTTGAAAGTTATGGACTTTTTTGAGTGATTGATGATCCCCTAGTCTCGCTAATTGAGGCCCCTTACCTTCATTATTTTGGGTCTGAAGAGGTTTGTTTGGTCTGAAATTGAATAGAGATAAAGCCAATGTAGTCCTCATAAATCTTGGGCTTGAAGCACGAGTAGAGAATAAACTGATCACTAATTTGTGTTGCAATTGAATCAAATACAAGAATAGGATATGTCTTGCTTTTTAATCTATGCACTAACCTCTTTTATTCACTTCAGTTAAATAATCCATATTCTTAAATTTGTAGGTCCGATTTCATTATGGTGTAATCCTTATAAATATTGCGCTTGGTGAATGAGTAGAGCACAAACTCATCACTAATTTGTGCTGCAATTGAATTTAAAACAAGAATAAGATATATACTTTTTTTTATTATTATCTATGCTCTAACCCTTTTTCTTCACTTTAGTTAAGTAATCCATATTTTTTTAATTTGTAGGGTCTAATTTCATTATGGTGTAGTCCTTATAAATATTGGGCTTGATGCATGAGTAGAGCTAACTTGTGCTGCAATTGAATTTAAAATAAGAATAGAATATAGAAAATTCTACGGTACCCACTATAAAATCTAGGATACCGGAACAGTTGTCTAATTTTTTTATTTTTTATTGTAATTACTTGTTTTTATTTTTATTTTAATTTACTATTTTTAATAATTTATTTTTATAAAATTTTCTATATCTTTATATTATTTTTATATTTTTTAATTTATATCTTAATTAATATTAATATTTTGTTAATATGTTTTAATTTTTCTTTTCTGATAATTTTTTGAATTTATAGTATAAATTAGTTCTTCAGTTGTATTATTTATTATTTTTATTTTCTATTTTAATGTTTTTGTATTATTATTATAACTTTTTATTTTAAATTTTTTAGTTCTGTCACATATAAACAAAATTTGTTATGAAAATTGACTTTTTGATATATTTTTTTAAATTAATCTTTTTATTGATTCATCTTATATAAATTTTTAATCTAAAATTCATGTTGTTTAGAGTTTATTTTTTAAAAGTTTATTTGTTCCTGTAATTTAAGGTACCAAAACTCTTCAATTTTTATGCGTACCGTAACAATTCCCATAGAATGTATCTTGCCTCTTTTTACCCTTTTTTTATCTATGCTCTAACCTTTTTTCTTTAATTCTTGAATTTGTAGGGTCCGATTTCATTATGGTCATCCTGATATATTTGATAGAATCTTCCACATAACAAGAGGTGGCATAAGCAAAGCATCAAAAGTTATAAACCAAAGTGACGATATATTTGCAGGTATTATATGGTTGAGTAGAAAACGATATCTGACATCCAAATTTTCTATTCATTATTCTTAACATGCATAGAGTTCAATTTGAATCCATATTGTAGATTTTTTAGGGTGGGAATGTTCTACTAATTGTGCTTAACATACATAGGGTTCAATTCAACACTACGTCAAGGATTTATCACACATCATGAATACATACAAGTAGGTAAAGGGAATGATGCTGGCATGAATCAATTATCGCCTTTTGAGGCTAGGGTTGCAAATGGAAATGGAGAGCAAACACTTAGTCGAGATGTTTATCGACTTGGCCAACGATTTGACTTTTATAGAATGTTGTCGTTCTACTTCACAACAGTTGGCTTATACTTCAGTAGCATGGTAACTAATTAAATCTCATTATGGGGATCTTGTCTTAATAGAGAGCACAAGTCGTGCCATAGTTTGTCTTAGAATAGTGGATTAAGCCTAACTCAACCCTCACCATACAAGCCGGTTTTGTAGGGTTGAGTTAGGCTTAATCCACTATTCTAACATGGGATCAGAGGCATTTAGATCCACTTTAAAAATGGGCCACCCACCATTGATTCATGCCGCATAGGCTTTATTTTATTTATTTGGAAAAACCCAATTCCCGCCAATCCTAGATCATTAAAAAGGGTCACCCACCATTTATCCACGTACCAAGCCCAATAGTGCTGGACGTGAGGGGATGTATTGGGAAAACCCCAAGTCCCGCCAATCCTAGATCATTAAAAAGGGTCACCCACCATTTATCCACGTACCAAGCCCAATAGTGCTGGACGTGAGGGGATGTATTGGGAAAACCCCAAGTCCCGCCAATCCTAGATCATTAAAAAGGGTCACCCACCATTTATCCACGTACCAAGCCCAATAGTGCTGGACGTGAGGGGATGTATTGGGAAAACCCCAAGTCCCGCCAATCCTAGATCATTAAAAAGGGTCACCCACCATTTATCCACGTACCAAGCCCAATAGTGCTGGACGTGAGGGGATGTATTGGGAAAACCCCAAGTCCCGCCAATCCTAGATCATTAAAAAGGGTCACCCACCATTTATCCACGTACCAAGCCCAATAGTGCTGGACGTGAGGGGATGTATTGGGAAAACCCCAAGTCCCGCCAATCCTAGATCATTAAAAAGGGTCACCCACCATTTATCCACGTACCAAGCCCAATAGTGCTGGACGTGAGGGGATGTATTGGGAAAACCCCAAGTCCCGCCAATCCTAGATCATTAAAAAGGGTCACCCACCATTTATCCACGTACCAAGCCCAATAGTGCTGGACGTGAGGGGATGTATTGGGAAAACCCCAAGTCCCGCCAATCCTAGATCATTAAAAAGGGTCACCCACCATTTATCCACGTACCAAGCCCAATAGTGCTGGACGTGAGGGGATGTATTGGGAAAACCCCAAGTCCCGCCAATCCTAGATCATTAAAAAGGGTCACCCACCATTTATCCACGTACCAAGCCCAATAGTGCTGGACGTGAGGGGATGTATTGGGAAAACCCCAAGTCCCGCCAATCCTAGATCATTAAAAAGGGTCACCCACCATTTATCCACGTACCAAGCCCAATAGTGCTGGACGTGAGGGGATGTATTGGGAAAACCCCAAGTCCCGCCAATCCTAGATCATTAAAAAGGGTCACCCACCATTTATCCACGTACCAAGCCCAATAGTGCTGGACGTGAGGGGATGTATTGGGAAAACCCCAAGTCCCGCCAATCCTAGATCATTAAAAAGGGTCACCCACCATTTATCCACGTACCAAGCCCAATAGTGCTGGACGTGAGGGGATGTATTGGGAAAACCCCAAGTCCCGCCAATCCTAGATCATTAAAAAGGGTCACCCACCATTTATCCACGTACCAAGCCCAATAGTGCTGGACGTGAGGGGATGTATTGGGAAAACCCCAAGTCCCGCCAATCCTAGATCATTAAAAAGGGTCACCCACCATTTATCCACGTACCAAGCCCAATAGTGCTGGACGTGAGGGGATGTATTGGGAAAACCCCAAGTCCCGCCAATCCTAGATCATTAAAAAGGGTCACCCACCATTTATCCACGTACCAAGCCCAATAGTGCTGGACGTGAGGGGATGTATTGGGAAAACCCCAAGTCCCGCCAATCCTAGATCATTAAAAAGGGTCACCCACCATTTATCCACGTACCAAGCCCAATAGTGCTGGACGTGAGGGGATGTATTGGGAAAACAAAAAGTAAAACATAGCATAGAGATTCGGAAATTGAATAGTATATACGTCGAAAAGAAAACATAAATTTAAAAGAAGGTTTTGTAGGGTTGAGTTAGGCTTAATCCACTATTCTAACAGTTTGAAAAGAACACGATAGAAATATAGTGGCAACACTACCCCTAGAAAGAACCACATAAGTAATACACTCAAACAAAATTCTTGTTATAATTGGAGAAAGATAGTAGGAGATATTGAGGATAAAAATTTAGGATATATTGTTGATAATAACGTAATATCTTAAGGGTTTATAAACAAAATATCTTAGGGATTTATCATTATCTTTTGTTTTTTATCTTTTAGTCATAATCTTGTCATTTTAGAGATGGTAGTTTTCTCTATAAAAATCATGATTAGTGAATGTATTTTGTGAGACGAATTTATCAATGTTTTCAAGTTGGTATGAGAGCTCCCAATCTGGGGAGCTCTGCATTTCCATTATTCAACCCATTAAAGTTGCCAATGGATAAAGTGTCTCTATTGTTTGAACCGGAAGCATCCAACTACATTCATCTCTGTCATTACATGATGTCCTCCATGTTTCTAAATTGTCTAACAATCTCATGACAGGGTGGGGCGACCATTTTTGGCCCACCACCAACATTAACGATGACAGGAGCTATAGAGAGGCACCAGTGGTTTGTGTTTGCTGTGGAAACAGAGATCCTAGATCAGGAAGCTTTGATGTCAACTTGAAAAATGAACATTTGTCAATCATTTTGTAACACAAATTACATTCTGTAATCATGTTATTATAGAGAAAACTCTTATCTCAAAAATGAGGAATGACTTAAAGATAGAAGAGGAAAAAAATAAAGAAAGAAATAATAATTATAAAAGATAAGATACTGATATACCTCTAAAAGATATTTATGTTATTTCTATTAATTGGGATGTTTTATATGACTATATAATGAAATATTTGAAATATACAACGTACAATACAACCATAGATATAACTAGACAAATAACTATTAAAGACGTGACTGCACTTTTGTTCTATAGAGTATATTTATGGTAACGCTTGGACTTTATGAATTTGTCAGGTAACTGTATTAACTGTGTATGTCTTCTTATATGGACGTTTATATATGGTTTTGAGTGGAGTTGAGAGAGAAATTCTTCAAAGTCCTAAGATACATCGGAGCAAAGCCCTTGAAGAGGCCTTGGCAACTCAGTCTGTTGTTCAGTTGGGCTTACTGTTTGTGCTGCCAATGGTTATGGAAATTGGCTTGGAGAAGGGATTTCGCACTGCCTTGGGTGATGTTATCATCATGCAGTTGCAGCTAGCCTTTGTGTTCTTTGCTTTCCAGCTTGGAACAAGAGCTCATTATTACGGGAGAACACTCTTGCATGGGGGTGCTAGATATAGACCAACTGGTCGGGGATTTGTTGTCTTCCATGCAAAGTTTGCTGATAACTACAGGATGTATTCACGAAGTCATTTTGTGAAGGGTCTAGAGATTCTCATACTACTGATTGTTTATCAAGTCTATGGGGAGTCATACCGCAGCTCCCATCTTTATTTATTCATCACAATCTCAATGTGGTTTTTGGCCACTTCCTGGTTGTTTGCTCCTTTCTTGTTTAATCCTTCTGGCTTTGATTGGCAAAAAACAGTGGATGATTGGACAGATTGGAAGCGGTGGATGGAAAATCCTGGTGGCATTGGTATTGAATCTGATAAAAGCTGGGAATCTTGGTGGGATGAAGAAAATCAACACTTGAAATACTCAAATATCAGGGGGAAAATAATTGAGATAATTCTTGCATTTCGCTTCTTTATGTACCAATATGGAATTGTCTACCACATGGATATTACTCATCATAACAAAGATTTGCTGGTAAAGTAACTCATTTTTTGTATTCTCAAATCTTATGAATGGTTGCATGTTTTATAATGTCATCTTACGAGTACCAATTTGCTTTTTCCTTGTAGGTATTTGGACTTTCTTGGGCAGTTTTAATAATAATACTCATTGTATTAAAGGTACATAAATGCTAGCTAGGGATCAAGACTAGTGACTTCCCGTAAAACCATTATTTCTTCAATTTAAGCCTAACTAATTGTTTGCTACAAAAGTTTTACTAAGTGAAATTTTGCATGTAGTTTAAATTTTAGATGTAAAATATTTTTATTTTCAATCAAACAAGGGGAACTTTTAGAGCATTGTACAGTTAAAATTAGTTCAAATTTCTGCAATTTTAATTAATTGGTCTTCTTTTTATTGTATGAATTCCGTATGAGCATATCAGATGGAATCAGTGAGAAGACAAAGATTTGGCAGTAACATTCAGCTCATGTTTCGTATTTTCAAGGCAGTTCGCTTTCTTTGCCTCTTGTCACTCATGACAGTACTATTTGTGGAATTTGGACTTACCATATCAGATTGCTTTGCTGCTATTATCGCCTTCATGCCTTCTGGATGGGCCATTATTCAGGTAAGTTAGAACTTCTAAAACACAAGTTAAAAACAATCTTTATTATTTGGGTTAACTTGTTATTGTATGACATGTCTTTAGGCAGATTAAAGAAATATTGCCATATATATATTACTTTCATACCAACCTAGAAAAATTTCTATGTAAGTACTTCATTCATCAAAAAAATTAAAAATGTTGATGTTCCTTCTTTCCTTGGCTTTCAAGATTGCACAAGCATGGAAGGTATGGCTGAAAGGAGTTAGACTATGGGACACAGTGAAAGATCTATCTAGAGCTTATGACTATGTAATGGGATTAATAATCTTCATGCCAATATTCGTTTTGTCAAGGTTCACGATTGTGTCAGTGTTCCAAACCCGCTTGCTATTCAGTCAAGCATTTAGTAGAGGGCTCCCTATTTCAACAATGCTTGCTGGAAAGGACACTTATAAATCTGATTGACATATTATTGAATTACCAAGGTAATATGACATGTACCATACATACATCAATTAAAGGTTATTTTAATTTTGTAACATGCATTAAAGAAAGTGATACTTTTTTTCTCACTTATTCCATATCTTTCCAAACATTGGCAGGAATTTGAAGTTCAGATTGATTAGAAATTGATCTCCAACTTGCAAGATATTTTGGGAGCTTTGTACGATTTCCTTTTACTTTTCTTACTAAATTTACTGACTGAGAATAGAAAGGACCAATGAGAATCCAACGTCAAGACATTGACTAAATTAAAGCAGTACAGCAGGACTTTCACGTTTTCAAATTTCATAACTCTATATATTTCTTACAATATAAATGGTATTTAGAAGTCAGAAACATCTATCCTAATTTTACTTTTTTTTTCTTAGTCATATGTAAAATTTGATATTTTATTATTATTCTTAATTTATTCTTTGCTAAATACTAACAATTTCTTATTAAAAATAAAATAAATAGATTTTAAAAAGTTTATAATGCGTAGGAAAATAATATATTTTATTTGAAAGGGTTAATAAAATGGAAATAATGTGTGATATTCAATGTAGTGGAGTAGTTTCAGAATTAAATGAAAGGCATAAATGTATAAACAAATATAGACTAAATCAAAGTATCACCTTTATTAATTATTGATAATAAATAATTTAATTACAAATACTTTTAAATATTTATATTATAAGTTTAATATTAATTTACACACTAGTACAAAAATGATATTTTATGTTAGGATTTTACATTGGTTATTAGGTGTCATTATGCCGGTAGTCAACACTATATTGGGGCAAAGGTATAAATATTTAAGCTTAATGTCATTAAAATCATTATGTTGGTGGTTGACACCATGTTAGAGTTTATGTATAATAATATTTTAAGTTTGGTGTCATTATGACCATTATGTTAATGATGGTCACCATGTTTGATCTAAGACATAATATTTCAAGTTCGATGTCATTAAGATCGTTATGTTGGTGATCAACACTATATTAGAGTTGCAACATAATATTTGAAGTTCGATGTCATTATGATCATTGTACTAGTGATTGACACCATGTTTTAGGCATAATATTGCGAAGCTTGGTGTAATTGAGACCGATATGGTGGTGTTCAATGTCATGTTAGAGCTTAAACAAAATTTTGTAGCTTAGTGTTAGAAGGATTGTTATGCTTGTAGTCGATGTCATTTTGGAGTTGACTCATGGTTTAGAATTATATGTAATACCATAAGATTTTAACACTTAAGTGAGTCATAAATTTCCTATAGGGGATTGCCTTTGACTTGCCTTACTTAGAGTGTTCTTCTTGATCGCTTTTGTTTGCTAGCTTGCTCAAAGTGATCAGTTTATCCACTTAATCGAGCCAATAATTTCTTCCAAGGGTTGCTTTTGACTTGTCTCGCTGAGAGTGCTCTTCTTAGTTGCTTTAAGCAAATTCTTCATTTGCTAGACTCAAAGCAAGCAATTCATTTGCTTAAGTGAGCCAGTATATGCTTCCAAGGGTGTTTCTATGTAAGCTTGCTCAAAGCGAGCAGTTCCACCGCTTTAAACAAATTCCTTTGAAGAAACTCGCTCAAAGCGCCTAATTGGTTGTCTTGGAATGAGCCTGGGTTGAGTCTTTTGCAGCTTCAAGTTCCTTTCTCCTCATGTCTCAAAAACTTTATCAAAGAAAACTATTAAAAACAGCTATAATTAAACAATTTCATTCTTTAAATAAAATCAACTTCAACTACGTATTTGTAGTAATAAAACAAGACTATAAAGCATAAGATATATTTAATAATTGTCTAAATTGGGTAAAAATTATAGACATGTTTGACAATTATCACCTTATGTTAAGTTGTCTTTTCTTGATGTTGCTAAAGAATAGTAACCATTTCAATGACGAATATATATCACTATCTAAAAAGAATGAATGCTCTCCTATTGTATTGGGCGTCATGGGTTACTCACCTTAGCATTTTCCATTAGAGGGTCGGGAGGAAGCATTTAGGATGGACTATATTCAGAGTGACTGAATTTTCCACTTTATACTCAAGAAGTGGAGGAAGTGACAAGGTTTGACTTGACGAAACAACCTTATGGCTACAAGTAATCACCATTCAAAGAAAATTAAAGTAAGGGAAAAAATTTTCTCACAAACAGTGCCAATGTTCAAATGGTGATGAAAAAGAAAGCCAATGAGTTGACGTGCAAGAAACCAAGGTTGGAGGAGACATGTAAAATTAAAAAAACTAACTGTTATCTTTCATGTAATAGCACGAATGTGGATATTGATTGGTAGTTCAAGTTCTTATGATGTTTAATTATAAACTAATTGTTATTGTTGTTGTAGTTACATAGATTTATTGCTTCAACATTGAATCTGATGGAAACTTATTTCCTAAGGATCTCTTTGGAAGAGATAATAAGATCAAGAACGGTGAAAGATGATAAAGATAGTTTGAAAAATTGTAGGACATCTACTCTTATTTTGTAGGGCACCCTACCTTTAAAGGCATATCCTACCTTAAAAGATCTTTATTGTTGTTTAACATTTTTCTTAGTAGTGATTGTATAAGTTATTTTTGATCTTATATTTTGGATCAAGTAATATATGAATTTTTGTTCTTGTATAATTTTTCTTTAAGGGTGTAATTAGTAATTCAGGGAAGGTGCAACTAACTTGAACCATAAACTTATTTGGGCTTAGATGGCCCAAACTTTTTCCATGGCCCATAGGTTTGGACGTCCACTTGCATAGACAAGTGGTTTGGAATGGCTTCTAACACCCTAAGAAGCTATTGACAAAGTTAGAAGGAGATCAACAAGCAAAAGTTAGTTCTAGAAGCTTGAAGGAGGGACTACAATCAAGTCTCTCCTTGAAGTTTCCATCATAATCTATTCAATTGTGGCAAATCCTCTAGATCCAACGACTCCATGGAGTCTACCAACACCTTTTGCACACGAAATCTAGATAGGTTTTGCAATTTCTTGAATAAAAAATCTGTTTGAGAACCATCACTTGTTAAGCATCATAGTGTTTCAACCAGACAGAGATTCTTGACTATTATAGCAATCTGTATCTTCTAATTTTACTTGATCAATGATGAATTTTTTAACAAATAAAAAAATTAAGAAAAAATAGTAAGAATAGGAAATAATGATTAGCGATATAGAGATTAGAACCTTAGGAGTAGTGTGAATTTTCTAGAAGTTGTGAATGCGGGTGACCTATGGTGAAGGAAAATGAATTGTAGTATTTAGATTTGAAAATGAGAATGAGAATCAAAAAAATGTATAGAATGAATGGAAAAACCTAATTGAGTAGTTGTCTTGCAATGCAATCAAAATCTTATATCCTTAAAATATAAGAATGACATAGGTTTATATATACATACATAAGTCTCTATTGATAAGAGATCTTTTGGATGATGTCCAAAAATAAAACTATGAGAACTTAAGTCCAAAGCAAATAATATCTTATTATTTTGAAGACATAAGTTTGTGAAAAGTTCTAGTAATAACAAGTAATATCAGAGTTAATGGTCAATCAAGTGATTGACTCAACGAGGGTGATGGAGTTGGCTAGTGGATATGAATATAGAGTCTCTTATATCAAAAGTCTTCCTAATAGTAGATTTATGTATGAAGTGGAGGAGAGTCTTCATGATAATATAGACATTTAGGAGGTGTGTCTTATTATAAGTTAACAATAAAGTAGTGGTGCAAGTAGTTAGAGTATATATGATCAAGTTCAATGGGTAAACCATAGCAAGGGGGCTAAATCATACTCCTTTGTTTGAGGAGAGGATTATTGGATATAAGCAAAGTCTCACTTCGTTTAAAAAAGAATAGATATAAACTTTATATGCATATGTGTGTGTCAGAAACCTCTAATGCCCAACAAGTTGATTCATGGTGAGGTAAAGTGTTTGGTGAGAGTGAAGGAGGCACAATTTGTCACCTTGACCAATTTCAACCTCTATGACGACAGATTTGGACGGCAAGAGGGGAACTCAGTGGTGGAGCATGCGAGAGAGTCTTTGAAGTTTGGTGAATGAGTTGGTGGTTTGGGGATGAGGAGACCTTAGAAAAAAAATATGAAAAGAAAAGGAATAACAAGAGTTGTGAGTAGCCGATAGCAAATTCAAATTATGTAAGTTTGATATTGTAACAAGTAGCTCAATAAAATTAATCAACAAATAATTTTTAAAAGATGTTATTTAATATTATTATAAATTAATAAATCATATTAACTCTAAAATATTCAATTTTTCCAAAAAATTATTCAATATTTTTCTATTAAATAACTTTATTTCAAAAATTATCATTAAGTTAAAACTTATTATCATTAATTTATCATATTTATAAATTATATTAATTATTACAACATTTAATAATTTTTTAAGTAGATAGTTTTATTTTGAAATTGATCATTAAATCAAAATTTATTGTCATTAATTTATCATATCTATAAAATACTGCATATTTAATTAAAATAAATATTTAATTTACTTAAATTTTAAATTAAAATTAATTATAAGGATATATTTATAATAATTTAGTAAAATAATATGTTGTTAAGTAAAAAACTTCATTCTTTAAACTTAAAAATTTTAAAATTAATTTTACTTTTATTTTTCTTGCATAATAAATTTGACAGGAAAATCCATAAAAAAAATACTTGCGAATATTTTCCTCCCGTTTATTAAAATACTATTAAATATTATTTTTTTTAAGAAAATATGTAAGATACAAAAGAAAATTCCTACAATATCTCCTACGAGTTTTTTATCCAAAAGAAATATCATATAATCTATATAATCGCATGAAAATTTGTAAAAATTTCTTGCCAACTATTTTTTACAAAAAAAAATAAAAATAAAAAATTTCTCGTAAATTTATTGTTGCTAGAAAATCTACATAAAAAAAATTATAGAAAAAATTTAAAATATAACATTTTTTTTAATAGTATTACATTCATTTTAAAAAACTACAAAATAAAACCATCCAATCATGCAAATTAATTTTGTCACATCCAAAGTCGTTAGCTTTCTCGGCATGTAAGAATTAACAAATTCGTCAAATAACTGTTTTTAAAGACCCACTTTCAACACAAAAGAATAGACCAAAAAAATATAATAATAAAAACGCAATTCCATGTGTGAAGTGTGAACTTCCATCTCAGGTTTGTTCCTTACTTCATCACCAAATTAAAGAGAAAGCATCCGGCACAAAAAAGTAGCATCTGCATCACACACATGTTCCCTTACTTTTCTTTTTTAGATTTAAATATCTTTAGTATCTTAAATTTACATTTAGAGTAAAATTTTTATTTATTTCTTTAAATTTAAAAAATAATTATTTTAATTCTCCTAATTTCAAAAAATCATGTTTCCTAATTTTTCTTTTTAAGTTTAAACATGTTTTTATTCTCTCAATAAATTTGTATTTAATTTCTTAAATTTAAAATTAATCTCTTTACTTTCCATAATTCAAAAAAAAATTTATTTTAATTATAATATTTAAATTTTATTACTAAATCTGGCAAGTGTTATCGAATAAAATTTATTTACTAATAATATATTCATATTAATGAAAATATAGTAAATGTCACATTAAATCATTAAATTCAATTGATGTTGTATAATTGTCTTTATTAGATATATTATTAATGAAATGAAATATTAAAATAATATTTTTAAAATTTTCATTAACTAAAAAGATCAATTTTAAATTTAATGAATTAGAAATAAATTTATCCTAAATTTAATAAAATAAATCATATTTAAACCTTCGTTTTATTATACTTTTCCCCTTCTTCTCCCTTCCAACAAGAACAATTCCAGAACTTGTATCTCAATCAAAGTATCAATCCTTTTGGTTCCTTCTTGTAATAGAAAATGGCAACTTTAGCATCCCCGACTCTTCACTCAAATCCAATTTTGTTGGGTGGTGAAGAAGAAGATTGAGAGAAAAAATAATAAAAAAAACTTGTTTGTTGGTAGTGTGGTGGTGCATGGGAGGACCATGGCCAGCACAAGTGACACAAGGGGTCCTATTGATACTGATTGGCAGCCAACAAGGAGGCTGGTGAGGGCTCATACAAGAAATGTGGACTTAGGAAAGGAAGGTGTTGTGGACAGTGAGAGTGTCCCTTCCTCACTTGCTGTGCTTGTGCCTATTCTAAGAGCTGCCATTGACATTGAGGAGGAAAATCCCAGAGTTGCCCATCTTTGTGAGTATTTTTTTTCATTATTTATTTTTCAATATTTACCCCATCATTGCTAGAAAAGAGAACTAAGTGAAAAGCATACAACTAAGAATAAAATGTATTGAAGATGAGAAATGTATGGCTAAATATATATAACATATTAGAGAGTGACTAACATTTTTTTTTTCATCTTCAAACACGTTTTTTCTCTTCTATATCCTCATTTTGTATAGGAAAACTTAAGTAATATGCCTTGAATTTTCTTACTTTTCTTGTGTGCGATTTTTTCTTCAAGAATTTCACATGATTTTTTATGAATATTTTGATTTTCTTCAAAAAAAATTCTACTAGAACTTTCAGTAAAATTTGCTTTGATTTTTTTACATATATATGGTTTTGTCCTTGATTTTGTGGAAAAATTCATGGGAAAAATTAGTATTTTATATTATTTCCATTCAAATTTTGTTTTAAATGGAAAAATTTAGAGTTTGTTTGGATAAATTTATATAGAAGTGTTTCTAGGAAAGAAAATTATGTGAAGAAAAATAAAATAAATTTCTTCATAAATTAAAACTAGTTTATTCATGAGTTAAAAAAGAAGATTTTAGAGAATTAATAAAAGTTTATATAGTTTATGTATAAGTTAATTTTAACTTAGAAAAAAGTTTATTTATTTTTTTGTTTGAGTATTAAATGAGAATATTTAAATAGAATAAAAGGTAAATAATTAAAAAATTAGAATAAATTATATTGAGATTTCCGAAGTTTTATAAATTTGCATTGATATTATTACTGCTTTTAATATTTACAGTAATTTTTCTTTCACAAATAATGTTTCACAAATAATTAAGGAAGTTAATGTAATGTCTAATAAGAGATATTAATATAATATTTTTTAATTAGTAAGAAATTTTATATATTGTAAAGATAAAAAAAAGGAGTATTTCTGTAATTTCACAAAATTTCGTATATTAGTATTATATGTAATATTTTAATATAGACGATGACTGAAGTTGTCTCTTGAACTTGTTTCACTACTGCTTCTAGATCTAGTGGGTTCCTTTTCTTTCCCAAAAATAGGAAAACTAAAATGTGGTTTTTGATAGATAGACTTATTCTAAGTCTCTATTTTGGAGAAGATAAAAAAAAAAAAAAAAAAAAAAAAAAAAAAAAAAACCAAACCACAAAAA